CCAATCAGTTTGCAAATTTTTAAAAGTTTTCGAACCTGTAGTAGTTAACTGTAACGTCGAGAATCTAATCGTAGTAATAAACATCGAACATGAGGAAACTTTGGCCCGTAGTTGTAGTCAGTATATTCCCATTCTTAGAAACAGATCTGGGAAATGAAGGCCCGTAGTTATAGTCAAAATTAAGTCGACACTAAAGTTAGTTGCAGCTTTTTTGACAGATATCCAATTGAAAATTATGACAAAAAGCTGCAATTAACTTTAGAGTCGACTTAATTTTGACTATAACTATGGGCCTTTGTTTCTCAAATCCGTATCTAACGCTGCGTTTACATAAGACAATTTGAGACAAGACAATTTAGCATATGTATTAGTTGTCAAATTGCTGTGTAAAGTAGGCGTCCAGACAATTATGAAGACAAAATATTTTTCAGCAGCCACCGTTAGTGTCGTTTGGCGTATATTTCATATTATTTACTGAAATATCCAAACACAAACCACTTTTTCATAATTCGGCGATTTTTTACGTTCTTGTCTTGCCTCTTTTTCTCAAATTACCCAAGACGTGACCGAATTGTCCAATTTACTGGCTTCGATCAAATCAAAGACAGTAACGAAGACAACGAGAGAAGTGTGAATGGATTACTGAAAAAGTGTGAATGTATTGCTATTGTCTTAGCAAAATTCTCATGTAAACGCTGGGTAAGGATGGGAAAATACTGACTACATGTTAATAAGTTTGTTAAGGGGCCGAGTTTGTTTTCCATAGATGCACTGTCTAAAAATGTCCGCTGTTTTCGGTGGATACCGTTTTCGATTTTTTATGGATACTTTAAAGGCTCAGGCAGTGGCAATACTGCTCATCACGATCTTAGAGAGACAAGATTTTAGTTCGTTGAACATTGGAGGCAAGAACTGTTTAAAATAAACAAACATTTATAAAAATGTAGACATGGAGCTTTTTGAACACTCCAAGCGAATTAATCGTAGCGCTTTCGGCAGGAGAAAAATTTGATATGAAACAAAATGGTTTCGAAAGCTAATGTAATTCCCTCTCACGGAAAAGTATTGCCGTCGAGCCACAATTACTCCCTCACCTAAAAAAAAATGGTCAAAAGTAGTATTCATCGAAAAAACATGCAAAATCCGCCACATTTGTTCCCAAAAAAATAATTTGTATGTTTTATTATACTATTAATAGATATAGATTTTAACACGATAAACACGATTCCACTGTTTAAAAAACAAAAAAATGTGCAGCCCTCAATTTGAAAAATGCACTATGTACTGCATTTTTTTTTATTTGCATGCAGCTGCGCATCCGACACACAATTTTATATCACTCGAACAACAAGTGCGTTTTAGTGCTATTCAAGACCTTTCATTCGAGCCAAGGTGGAAAGTCTCTAGGCCCTTTGAGAGCCGAATTATAACGATTCTGAAGTTAAACTTCGAAATTTCATTCGACATTTCTGCATTTTTATACCCGAGCGGACTTGTGCACAAGGGTATTATAACTTTGTTCACATAACGGTTGTTTGTAACAGGCAAAACGAATCGTGATATATATAGACAAATGTATACATACATGATCAGAATGAAAAGAGAAATCGATTGAGCGGTGACTGTCTGTCCGTCCGTCCGTCTGTGCACACGATAGCTCGGGTAAAAATTCAGATATCTTAACGAAACTAAGTACGTGCACTTTTTTCGGGCGTAGGACGGATGGTATTGAAAATGGGCAAAATCGGACAATAACCACGCCTACCTCCCATATAACGGTAATTTTCAGAAATACGAAAACCGCGATATTTTACTGAAGATTATTCACTCAAAATTGATATTTACAATAAATTTTAGATAAAAATAAGAGTATTATAAAGTTTTGGAAAATGGGCGTAGCCACGCCTACTTATGGTTACTTGTGCATGTCTTGATAACCGCTGCACCAATTTCTTCCCAACCTGGCACAGTTGTTGGCTTGGTACAGCATACCAAATGGCCGCAAATTTTTGAAATCGGACAATAACAACGCCCACATCCCATATCTATAACGGTAATTTAGGGAAATACGAAATCTTCGATAAGTCGGTAAGTATTAAAGCTAATTTCTTCAAAATTGATGCTTGCCACAATTTTTTACCAAGAAATACGTTCATTATAAAATTTTGGAAAGTGGGCGTGGCACCGCCCACTTATGATCACAAATATGTATCTCGATAACCGTTCTACCAATTTGTACTAAACTCGGTATGGTTATTGTGCTTGCCACATAAAAGCAAATTGGACTAAAGTTACGGCCGCTTTTCATATAACGGTCAATTTCAGAAATGCTTGAAACTTCAATACTTCGAAATTTAAGGAAGCTAATTTACTCAAAATTTATACACCCCGGCTTACCATGTAGCGGTAGCTTTCGAAAAGGTGAAAAACATATATTTAATACTTGTGCAGCGTATTTAATGTTCGGCTCCGCTCGAACTTAGACTTTCTTACTTGTTTTCTTCTAATTTCAGAGTAAAAACTTGTTTGGCTTAAAATTGTTATAACTTGGCTCTCAGAGGGCCTAAAGATTCCCACCATGGCACATTAGGTCAAATGATACATTTGGCTGTGCGGAAGTCCAATTTCGTAAAGGCAGTTTTACATTATTTTTTGTTGCCATTCTGTAGAGAATACTCCAAAATAACAGAAACTTCAATTAGTTTTTGTAAAATAAAAAACACCGTTATACAGCAATAAACCAAAGTTACACTTTCAAAACGTTATTGATACGTTGTTTGCGCAACCGGTTTATTTTGTAAATTTCAAGTGCATTGTTTTTGTAAAGTTCGAATAACTAAAAGAAAATTTTAAATGGGGGAAAAAAACTATATCTAAGTGAGAACCTATGTCCCAATTTAAAAACGTGACTTTTTATCATTTGTTTGCAAAAAACTGACTTATTTGCATAACCTCAAAAATTTCCAAATTTATTTCCATTTATGATTTTATGTAAGCTTTTACAATTTTGTTAACTTTAGGCAAACAAATTGGAATCGGAACTGGATAAATTAAGATGTAATGAGTTCAATTTATTTTACTTAACTTGCCGTTTTTAGCCGTTTTCAAGAAAAACGGTTTTTTTGTGGGCTATCATGCTATCACAAAAGGCAAGATGTTTGAAGTTTGGCTGATTGGATGTTAGAAATGAAAAGCCTTTTTCGGTTGTCAACCATGTTGAAAAAAAATTTGGTGCTGCTGATATTTGCGAAAGTTCCATGAAACTCTTAGAAGAAAAAAACGCGTATTTTCTACAATTATTTATCAAATAAATATGAAAATTATGGGAAACAATTTGGAGAGGATACTAAAATATATATCTGAAAACATTGATTTTCTTGTTAATGAGGTTCTTTTCGAAATGAAAAAGCCAACTGTGTCGACCATCAGCCGGATTCTAACATTCGCTATCGCTAAAGTGCTAAAATAGGATAGCCAACCTTTTTCCGAATTTTTAGCTATTTCCAAAAATATCTCCAACATTTTTTGGTGATAAATAATCCATTTTAATGGTGATAAATAGTGAAAATGGAAGTATTAATTTGGATTACATTTCATCTCCTGTAGCGTAGCCGAGGCTATGTTACAAATGCACTAGCGCCTTCGCAAAAAGGCAAATCCTTGAGAGAACTCACGGACTGAAATTTCCAATTTTTTTACTCAAAGTGAATAGAGCTTTGAACATTCTTTTAACCAATTAGTTATATAAACATTCGTATTCTTTTCAGGAAGTTACCAGCGATTTTTGGTAAATGTGTCACAAGGCAGCATTTGTATTCTGAATATAAATAGATAATATCGGTGGAGAATTTGGAAATACTGAAACCTCAAGTGAAAATGAAGTGTTTTATGAAGACTAACGGCTTTAGTAATCTCTTCTCCTCAAGACATATCTGCGAGACATGTAGTAAATATTTTTCTTTTTTTTAATTTAGGAATTTCGGTAATGCCATAACTAATCGCTAGAAGAAACCATTTATGTACATGTGACCATACTTATGTATTTTACTATGTAGCTCATTTTAAAGGGGAGCGGGTTGTGTATGGTAAGAAAATAACTTGTGTCAAATCCAAGCTAATTGGACAATGTTTTTGAGTACTACCTAAAACATATACTCATCATTTGAACATACAAAAAAGCAGTAAGTTCTGTTTTACGAAAGCCAAGTCTGTTTAAAATTTTATTTACTGCCTTTACACTTGTTTTAACGTTTTCCATCTTTTTACATTAAAATAATGAAATATTTCAGCTGCTATTAATTTCGCACAGAAAAAGTAATTATTTGACCTAATGTGCATAGGTGATATTCTCCGACGGTTTCCATTGTTGCAGTATGTCGCTAAACCAGTGATTCCCAAAGTGGTCCATGTGAGGGGGCCTACGTTGGCGTATATGGGCATCCACGAGTTGTAAGTGGGGGTCCACGAAAATTTATCTGGTTTCGATAGTAAAGAACCAAAACGGTTACTTGATAGCCTATTTTTTAGCTTAAATTTTTTGAGTGGTATATAGGGCTCTTGCCGCACTTGTGAACTTATTTTATTTTTATTTTTGCCACTCCTAATTTAGTTTTGGAAAATTACATCGTTGGATTTAATCTTCACATTTTTTGATGAGCTTTGGGAATATGTTAGAAATGAGCATCAGAGCTCCACCGAAACCAGCAAAGTTTTGAAAGGTGTCTACGAGAAAAATAAGTTTGGGAACCTCTGCGCTAGACCCTTTGGAGTCCATAATCGTTTCGGAAGAGAGACTTAAAGTAATGCTTTAGTCTAGAAATATTTATAAATATTGTGGCTTCGATCAAAAAACTTTATATATTTTCGACAGCTTTATTATTTTCAGCATTTTTTAGGGTTTTCTGCCAATCATAAATAGCAATTAAAGCAATTAATCGCCCTCTAGACACTATTTAACCAAAATTATTTCATTTATTTCGGCAATGTAGGTGATCTACTCTATTATGGCGGCGTTGAGTGGCTGAATATTTCTGATTTCCTTGGCAAAATCAAGAAGGGTTTGGAGTTGCACGCTATGTGCTTTGTTTTTAAATCAGCGGTTGTGTTCCTTTGCAAAGAACGTTTGCGTCAAAAGAAGAAACTTATGGTAAGATAGTGAAAAATTGATCCATAGTTTAAGTACCGTTGAAACTACTAAAGCACTTTCTTATCTACTTAGGGTGTCTCGAGTAAAAATGCCCCCAATGAAGTGGAAATCATACGCTACCAAGTGCTCATACCAGTCACCGAGGTGCAAGTGCGCGCCTCTTCAGCAAAAGACATGGACTCACATTTCTTATGGGAATTGATACACTTACGCTCGCAATTGCAGCGCCGTTCCGAAAAGGTTTACGTGCTCTCGAACAGCACGGCAGACTTCCGTAACGCATTCCTCAAAACCATACGTCAGATCATACGCGAAAGTGTACGCAACATGTCAATTCCGATGAAAGGATTTGGTAGTTCCGGCTCAGTTTCGGGAATTTCATCGCAAGGTGGCGGTTCGGGTAGTTCCCAGACGCTGGAACGGCCAAAACAACAGGTCTCGACGCACATAATTTGGCATTAATGCTTGCATAAATTTATACTCTGCCTAAGTTTGAGTTGTACGAAATTTATATTTTACCTTGCAGATAACAATCATTCAAGGCTCACAGACATTAGGTAAACCCAAAAAGAAATCCGGTTCGCAACGTCATTCTGCCGGCAACATCGACTATGATAATCTCTCGGGTAGCCAAGAGGCTGACGATGTGCCAATGTTGCATCATCAGCATCAGCAGCAGCTACAACCAACTGGTTTCCGAGGACGCAGTAAGACCGTGGGCGATGCTATAGGTACATTTACATACATAAGTACATACCAGTACTTAGGCTCATAACTTAGTGTCACCAACCTACTCTGAACTTTGATAAATATTTCTCAAGAATCGGCAATAAAATGAGTTTTTTTTTTAACTTTCACCTTTTAATACTAAATAACTGCATTTCGCTCTTTTACCATTGTCTGCCTTAAAAGTTGAAGTATTCGCTAAGTAAAATTTACAACCCGCTTTCTTACTTCACTACTATTTTTTTTTATCTTTCTCTCGCTTATTCGACATCAAAATCTTCGGATACAATCTTTTGTATAACTTTTCGCGCTCTTCCAAATTAATTACACTCACAAACTACATAGACCTAATCTCCTCCTCTATAGACCCACAGCAGCAGCATCAAAAGCATATGCAACACCATCAACAACAAATGCATCATCATCAACAAATGCATCAGAGCGATATTGAGCGCATGGATCCGGGTACCAAATCTGAAGGAGAAGAAGACTCCCAGCAGGGCACAATCAAAGCGAAAGCTACGCTGGGTCGTACACCCAACCACTTGACTCTAAGGTAGATATAATTCATACCTTTTTATCTAAAATGATCAAATCATGCACTATCGAACTTCCTATTAAACATTAGCGATCATTTCTGAAATTCATTGCTTTTTAGTTTTCGCAAAATTTTCATTTCCTTATATATTATATAGATTTTTTCAGCAAGCATTTTATAAATATGTACTTCGAGCGGGATATGTCCCTGCCTATTTTAATCTCTTTAAAACTTAGCATTCTTCATGCGACAATTTTTTATTTCGAAATCGGTTTCAGATAAGGGTTTGTTACATCGATGACGGCCAAGACATTTTGCCACATCTGGAAAAAAATCTATACTTTTTGGAAATAAACTTTTTACACATATTAAAATTTTTTAAATTTAATAGAAAAAAGGTTTTGAACATTTTTTCGATTTTAAATATACTACAAAATTGTTTTGAAAATTAAAAAAATGGTCCCAATAGCTCCGTTTTTCTTAAAGTCATGGTGCGCTTTTTTACAAAAATCGATATCTCGAAAACGGCTGGCCAAAAAAAAAATGTAAAGGAATCAATTGGTATCATGTCGTAAAAATTATGAACAAAATCGGAGATGCAAAAGCCAACTAGTGTCCGAATTGAGCTGGGCTGCCCCGTAGGCATATACTTATGTATTTAATTTTGCCTTGATGTGCAGTTAATTGAACAGCTCTAAATACGAGAAATATATATGTATACATAGTACATATGTCGCAGTGGCGTTTGCCTATCTCATCGCATTGCTCTTTCATTACAGAGTAGCCTCCTTGGTGGTCAAAAGGCCTACCTTGACTATGTTGTTGTTTTTGTAGCGACTACAACAACCCCACCCAGACGGGTTGATATCTCGGTCGTAGTCGTCAAGCTCAACTGACGGAAGTCCCAAGAAGCGTGAAGCTGTCTGTCCACATTGACAACATTAGGTATCACTTTGAGCTGGGACGACCGCCCCAAAATCGGTTAAACCGGAGATAAATTCTTAGGTTAGGTGACTGCCAGCATCCAGTAGAGGAGAAAGACGCACTTATTCCTTCCCGTCCGCTCACCTAGAAGTATAACCAGATAGTCAAATAGTTGATTACACTGGTCTACAAGGGTTTTGCGAATAAGACGGGACCTGGT